TAGTGAAGAATAAGGTTGTAGCTTGTCGTACCCTCAGACCCAGGCGTGCATTTTAACATGGGTGTGCTGTGCCCTTGGACTCTTCAGACAGTTTGGTGTTTTGTGTCTGAGGAGGCATGATGAAAGCAACTCCGAGCTAGTCCCTTTAAAGGTCTTTAAATCTGGAGTTAAATGGTGTATGTCTTGCCTTTTAACTAATATGGGCCTTCGTTTCAGGATTTGAGTTCAAAACTGGAGACCGTTTCATTCTTTCTCTGTGACACTCACTGCAGTTCCCCCTCCACCCGCCCTCCCTCATATTTAATTTTATAGTTCTTTCAGACATAAACATGAAAAAAAAGCAATTTTGACTTAGTTTCTGAGTGTTGCTGCAAAGAAAAGTAACAAACATCTGTTTTTACCTTAACTGCATCCATATGTTCAACCTCCCCATCACCCTCCTTCCCAAAAAATTTACAGCCGTATTTGGTGGGTACTGCATACTGTTGAATTAACTTTCTTCACAGTTAGATTGGAGAGTAAGTTCGGAGACTGAAAATATCCGTGCTAAACAGTGGCTAGAAGCTACATTACAGCTAAGCCAAGTTTTCAAGGTTTTTACTCTTCCTCTTTTAATTTATTTTCATTCTCCCCTTCCTACCTCCCTCCAAGAAAAGAGGGGATGATCTAGGAGACTTTTTAAGGAACAGGTTATTGTGGTAATCAGATAAATGTTAACTTGTGAAATTTGTTTTTGACCTTCATGCTTCTAAATTAATTAACTTTCAAAATACTGTGTTATGTAAGTATGTGGTTTGAGATGCATACTGTATGGATTATTGTAAAGGGTTGCTCACCTTGTTTCATTTTATTACTACTTGTTGTAGCATCTGGAGCAATTCTGGCCTTACCAGAGTTTTGGTTTTGTAGAGGATTAACAGGAAGAAGGCAGTTTTACTGAGATATTTGAGAAGCAGTGAAACAAAATGTTGAAGGATACTATCTTTTAGTTTCTGGTGTACAGCATGCTTTCAACAATAAGAGTTTTTAGAGCTAAAGATATCTTTCAAACAAAGGCTATTCCTTTCTAATTATGTAGTGCCTTTAATAGATGTGAAACTAGTGAAATTTTCCAAATATTTCTACCTACAGCCATCTAAATGGTTGTATGCTCCAGAGGGATTCAGCAGTGGGAGAACACATGCCTTTCCTTTGCTGCTAGCAGCAGCTATCAGTCTCTTAGTAATACTGAAAACTCAGTTGGAAGCTGGGCTATAATTCATTAGAAAGCAAGTGGATGACTTTTTGACTGTTGGTCGTTTTACTGTATATTCTCAGGTAAGTAGTAGGTTGTTTTCTTCAAAGGAGATATTAATTATGCCTCTGAGGAAAAGATTCCCTACTCCTACCTGATTTTCTTTGACAGGTTGAACAAAAGTCTGAGTGACATCTGGTGGCTCTTTCTATTGTTATGTAAATTGAGAGAGTGGGGATTGATTGTAGCTTCACCATCCCATTTCTGCTGACAGAGGAAGGTCATCTTTCTGTGTGTGATCCTTCTGACTGAGACATCAGAACCTGGAGTTGACATCTGGATTGACTTCGAATACAATCTGGGAAAAGAAGGGGATCATTTAGGGTTGCTAATACTCTCCCATAGTCATTATTACAAAATGTGGAAGTTAAATAAAGAAACCTTTACATTTTTTTTCTTGGTAATTAGAAGGAATGCAGGAGATTTTTTTTTTTTTTTCTGAAGTCTAGCCACTATGTCTAGACATATTTGTCTTAGTGGTGTTGCCTTTTACTCAAGGGTTGTTCAGATTTCTTTTGGATCTCTGAAGACACCGGTAAAGACGATGTACAGATACCAGTATCTTTGCTTTTATACCCTATATGCACTTTTGATGTTTTATGAAACCTTGTTACCTGTAGTATGACATGATGTGATTGTGGATTTTCCCCAGTTCTGTTGGCTAAAAGGGAAAGAGAGTCAGGGGACTATTGCTATCCTGGAACTGTAGACTTGAGTATTTTTTTTGAAGGACCAGATGGAACCTAATGAGTCTAAAAGACTTGTTTGTGGCGGAACTGTACATCACAAACTCAAGCTAGATCATGAACAGGGATGTAGAAACTGACTGTTAAGACTGAAAACAGAGAATTTGTGATCCTCTGGGACAGGTTTTGGCAAAATCGTTGTCTCACTGGCCGGAAGTTTCTCCGGGTCTGACAGAGCACTGTGAAAACAGGCAGTGACTATCAACCAGTGGCTTGAGTGGAATATTTTATACTGTTTTGTAATATCCCAGAGAGATTCTCTTCTGCACTGAGGATAGGTGGGAGACAAATAGCTGTTCTCATGCTGCGGTTGTGTGGTCTAGGAGTGTGATTATGATGAGCATCGTGTATGTGAGTAAGGAGTGGAATCGTAACCATGTCTCCTCCAGTTTTTATGTTGCTGGAAGGTAGCGAGTTCCTCTGAGATCTGGATTGTGGAAAACAGCATTCTGACTGTTGATCTTCCATTGATTAAAGCAATTATAACATCTGATTTTTCGTTATACATCAGTTTGGGCTCTTGTTGTGATGAACTTATTGGAAGTATTTGAATTACTCTGCATCAGTATATGATATCTTGTGTTTCATTTTCCCTTACTTAGTACTGGCATTATGTAAGGGTCTATAGTTTCAAGTGGTAGCATTGGGAATTAAAGGACATACCAGATTCCATGATTAAGAAAAAATTCTGATTCCCTTTAAATGCTGAACATGAGCATTTGGGAATGAAAGTTTCTGCATTGATCATAAGTCAATATACAAGGAAATTAACAAATCTGAAGCTTATTATTTCCTTACTTTCTTCTATTTTCAGCTCTAAAAGAAATGCGTGGGAGTTGTGCTTCAAGAATATTTTATTAATTTTGAATAACTTATTAGTTATATATTTAATGGGAAATAAATAGGAGATCCTATAGACTGTAGATTTGCCCTAAATATTTAAACAAGTATAGAATAACTGACATCCAGGACAGTCTGCCTTCTGCTCCCCCTGTGTTCGTCTAGTGCTACTCTCAATGCAATGCAGAATTCCCATTTGCTAGTAAAAATATGCCTCTTAATCTGCAACTAAATGTAGGCATATCTTTTTAAAATCTGGATGTTTTGAAACTAACAGCTTTTATGGAGGGGATAGAGCTGCTGACCATTATGCTGTTGCTGTGTTAATGCCTCATGTCTTAAGAGAGCCCAAAGCCTTTGTGATTCCCTTGATATCTCGAGTCACAAACCCCCAGATTTGAATTTTAATGTAAACATGTCTCATTAGTAGGAAGGAGACTTCTATGGTCTTACTGAGCTTTAGTGTTTCATGAACTGATATTACTGTTCCTCAAAAAGTACTCATGGAATCACTGTGTATGTCAGTTTGCAGCCAGCTTTTTGATAAACTTATTTAATTCATCAGTTCTTTGAAGATTACGGTGCTTCCCAGAGTGGGCAAGAGTGTTAGAATCTGGTCATAGAGGGATTTCAACTCCTACTCTGGTGAGCTCAGAAGTTTCAAAAGCTCTGCCAAATGTATTAAGGTCAAGTGTTTTGGATGGCATGTTTCCTATCAGAGGATGATTATTTTAAGGCCTCAGGTGCATTCTACTTTTGGCTCTGTTATTTCTGTAACAGGAGAACATTGTGTGTCCTAGTAATGGTCTTTATTATTATCTAAAAATAGTTGTTTGCAACAATAAGATCAGCCTAAGTGTTATCCTATTGTCTCAAAAATTTTAATGAGTGGCTAAAATGGAACAAGAAATAAAAGTGTAAGGAGCCTCCAGGAAGGCTGCACCATGAAAAAGAAGAATCTGAGAGAAAAGCATGATGGCATTCACATGGCTATAAAAGTGGCTAGTGGTTTGGTGGTTTAGCATTCAAGCATCCAATTTAAAACACTTCTTTGAAGGGCCTGATTTTCAAGACTTCTTTTGAAAATAGAACCTAGTAGTGCCTCAACTCAGGTACTCAACATCACTCAATGATTTTGTGAATGTAGAGCTCAATGCTCTGCGCAACAGAAAAACTGAAGTGTGGGCCCACGTGCAGTCTGTTATGGCACAGCAGTGCAAGGTAATTAGTTCAGCTCACCATGAAAGAGATGTAAACTAAGATGAACAATTTAAAATTTTCTGTATTATCAGCCTGTTTCTGTGAATAATGCGGGGGCCAGTCTGACAAAGAATAACTTGTTGAATTTTGTCTGCTTAATGTTGTTACCTTTAAGCCAGTAGGCCAAGAGGTGGCAACATGGAAAAACTAGTTGGACGTGCCTAGGCAGGACATACAAGTTCACACATTTCAGAATAATTAGTTTTAAGAAATCACTGAGCAAGAAATGATAGTTTCATTTATTGCCTATGAAGAAAGTGCTAAAGTGTGTTGCTGAAGATAGAGAAACTTAAACCTCTTGTATTATACCTTCATATTTTCCTTTAGCTGCATTTAATATTAGTCTTATTGTCATTAGTTTAATGCATCCTAATGTTGTTTGCTCTTTTGGAATAAACCTGAAAGTAAAAAAAAAAAAAAAAAAAAAGAGCTCAGCTTTTCTATGAAACTAAGCAATGGAGTTTAAATAGAAAGGAGAACACTCTTAATACCTACAGAAACTTTTTTAAAATTTAACTTTTGCTTTTAAGTTACGATACAAACAGGATAAGCCAGTGTTAGAAAGGAAAAATGGAGCCAATAAAGAGGGTTTCTGATTATAATAGCTTGTTTCTGTTTAATATCATTGAGCAGGATGAGGTTTTGCAGAGTTTCTCATGGAAATAGCATCCACAGTACTAAAATGATTACCTCATTCTTAGTACCCGTGCCAAGCACTTAGCCCCACAGTGAACACACGGGCTTGATTTTCAACATGAAACAAGCCAGAAGTGTGGAATGACATTTTCAGGTGACACTTATGGTTCTATTGCCTGTAATTAGCACCTCTTAACATGCAAACCTGCCTGTGCCTTTTCCAGGCTGTTGAAGCTCAAATACGAAGTTTTGGACAGACCCCTTCCCAACTGCTCATAGAACCACATCCTCCAAGAAGCTCTGCCATGCAGGTGGTAAGTACCGTGTTAACCCTTTGTGACCTGCCATTGTGCTCACTTCCTTTGCTATCTTGAAGTTGCAGAACCGGCCACTTCGCTTTGCTTTTATGTGGTCGTGGAATTATGTTATTAAAAACAGCAGATGAGTTATGATTTGGTAGGAGTGTATGCAGTGCTTAACTGGTTTTTTTATTTATTTATTACTGAAAGGATTGCATTGATTTCTGGTACAGACTTTTTTTTTGTCAGTGTAATCTAAGAACACTTCATCAGTTGATTTTGTTAATACCATACCTGTACAGGTGAGAGCCAGTCATCATGGAGACAATTTAGTTAATTTTTGGCAGATTCCCCAAGAAGCATGGATTTAGGAGGTGGAACTTCCTTGTCTTTTCCCCCAGGCATAGGTTTTCCCCTAAAACCAGGATTACTAGGAATTCATGAGCTGAAACTTACATAGCAAAGAATGTGACTAAATGTGTTTTGCAGTAAAGCTAGGGTGATAAAATCCAGGCAGTGAGCATTAACATGCTTTCCCTTTTACCTCTACTTGTGTCTAATATAATTTTATTATACAAACTATTATTTTATTACTGATTACTTTTCATATCATGTTGTGTGCAGTCTTTGGGTTTAAAATATCATTTGTGTTGTCATAGATCCAGAACTAAGTATATTAAGTGATATTCTGACAAGTGGAGCTAATGGTCTGCTAATTCACAGGGTTTTCAAAAAGTTATGTTCCCTTATTGTTAAGATGGATATTTTACACTGTAATATAAAAAAAAAAAAAAAAAAGGACATTTTCTTCTTGTATGTCCTGTAAGACATATGTCCTACTCAAGCAGACTAAGGTTAATAGTTTTAAAACATACCTGATGTGGAGAAGGTTTAAAAAAATTACACAATGTTTCCAAAGTAGCTTACAAACCTTGTGATGTAGGAGTCTGAGAGATGTAAACTTCTTGTCAAATTGAGCTACTAGCCTTTGTCAAATGGGTCATGTGTTGTAGATGAGACTTGCTCAGCTCAGTGCCCCCCCATCCCCACCACCCTTCCTGCAGGCAGCACATACCACACTTGGGCAGCTGTGCTGTGGTCATGCTCCTGCCCTGGGATCCCCTGTACAGGATGCACAGAGATGATTGTCCTCTTTAGTGGTCTGCTGGCCCACTGTACCTCCCACGGAGTGTCCCAGTGCCGCAGAGCCCTGCAGTGCCCTGTGCGTGCAACCCACGGGGCTCTCTCTTTCAGAAGAGCTCTGTTAACAGGGATGCTGGGGAGCCCAAACACTCCCATCATGCAGCTCCTTGCCGTGTGTGTGTCCGTCTGTCGTGGTGCCATGCACTAGGCACTTGCTCTAATGTAAAGGGATTTGTTTCAGGAAAAAGAGGAACTTGAGAAGTTGCTTGTTGACGTGTTTGTCAGACCCTTTGTTATATAAATAAATTTGATACCAGGAAGCAGTTTGTGTGCTTTTATGCTAATATTTTTCATGATGCTGAAATATAAAAGATTTAGTACGTAATATAAGAAGTTAAATTCTCTGAAGTTAACTGTTTCTAACTCCTGTGGTTTCTTGAGCTGGGGTACGGGTACACTCAAAAAAAAAAGCCCTTAGTTCTCCACTTGCTTTGACCTGTTTTGTGGGTGTTAATATGTGACACTATAGTAGCACTACATTAGCTGGTTTTAAAAGTAGTGTTCCTGGAGCTGAAATACAGCAAGGATATTTTTCCTGTCACAATTTTGAATTACTTCTAGCTCTGTTATTTACTGAGTTTTGTTTTCACGTGTGTGTGTGTGTGCGTGAATGCATGAATACAGCCGCATTGGAAGCCACCACGTGCTGTGTTAAGTGCACAAGCCATAATATACACCAGGTGTAGTAATTAGCAGTCACACGAAGGCTGCCTATTTGTCTGGTTTTGCTGCTGTTGCTGTATCCCCTTGTGTTTTCAACCATCAGATAGCTGGATTTAATTGAGGCCACATCAGATGAGGCATTACTGACACCTTTAATTGAATGAGCATCCAGGGAGGATTAACTCATAATATTGATTGGCTTTTAGCCACTTGCTCAGAAGGGTGTCTGGGTAGCTTATTAGTTGCTTTTATTTACACCTTTATGCAAAGACTGTAAATAGGAATTCATAGAGCAATATGTTTTTCTAAGTACTCTTAATAACTTTTTAAAAAGGAGTGATAATAAAAATGCAAATGTATTTAATTTTTTTATTAGTTCTGTATAAATATACATTAAATGTATGCACTTACATACACATATATGTAATGACATATTGCAGGTGGAAAACAGCCAAGGACACTTCATTAGTATTCTAATTTGGTTATTAGAAAATTACAAATACTTGAGCAATATGGGCACTGGTGACTAGGATGATTGTACCTGTACATCTCAATGGGGTTCTCTTTTTTAGATGCACCACACAGTCATAAACCCATTAGTTTTTGCTTTTTCTCCTCATATTTGATATCCAGATCTAAGATCCTCAATATTTTGCTTTGACATTTGCGATATTTTTAGAGAACTTAGTTTAAAAGTTATTATAACTTACTAAAATAAAAAAACACTAAAACCTTAAAAAATTATGTTGAAAATGAGAGTCTGGATTCATTCTGGAAACAACACAGGATAGTGTCTGTAATCACATCTACTTTATATTCTTTACAACTGCGTTTAATTATGTTTGTCCTTTGAAACACATTTGCAGTGAAGTCTTCTACTTTGCATTCATAAATCTTATTTTTGTGCACCAGAAATATATACAGAACATACATCTAGTGTATGTGTGTATCTGTTTATTTTAATGTGCTTTCATGTTCTCATCTGGCTTGTAAAGAATTACAGTCTGCCAGTTTAGTGCAACTTGAGACAATCTCTGGGAGCAGGAATTTCTTTTACTCACTTTCTTTTTTGTTTCCCTCCTAGTTAGGCATTGCTTTCCTTGACATACTATCTCTGCAGATACAAAGGAGAATTCTTTTGGCAGAGATGGATGATTGAAAACCTTTAGTTTAATCTGCTGTGATCTGTAGTAAAGTCTGCGTATAGACACTCTGTGTTCATCAAGGCCTTCAGATTATTAATGTATGTAGTAAAGGTTTTTCTGCCTCAAATACTCTTTTCCACAAGCCTGTCCACTATTACTGCATTTGCTTTTCTCTGCAGCTGCTCTCTGATTTTGTGTGTTTTAATCTGATCTTCCTTCTCTTGTCCTGTCTTTTCTCCTCCCTGTGTTTTCTTTTCCCATGTATTTGGGTTCTTGTTGTGTGCACTCAACAGTATCTCCTCCTGCAGAGCCCGTTGATGTTCACAGAACAAGCTCAACAGGACGTTATCATGGTCCTAAAGTTCCCGTCCAACTCCCCTGTCACTCACGTGGCAGCCAACACCCAGCCTGGCCTGGCCACTCCTGCTGTGATCACAGTTACTGCAAACAGGCTCTTTGCTGTAAACAAGTGGCATAATCTCCCTGGTAAGTAAATTAAAGTCAGAAGCCTAAAAAACCCCACCATAAAGCAGCACTTCTGTTGTCGTTTTCGAGAGTTGCTGCTGAACTGTTGTAAGTTTAAAGCAGAAAGAGCAAGTCCAGTTTGACAGCACGTTCTTCACATGTGGACTTAGTTTCTCCTTGAGAAGGTAATCTGTGCTATTGTGTAAGATGTGTAGCACACAAAAGGTCTGTAACAACAATACATTGCTTCCCAGGCCATCAGGCGCTATGCAAGAAGACAAAGCCAGTGTATCACTATTTGGTCATGCAAAAGGCACACTCTTCCTCTTTAAATCTGTTTTTCAGTCAGTCGGAAGGCTGGACCATATCATGTCAAAGACGGATTTAAAACACGAAGAACTTTCTGAAATCTTTTCTGCTCTCTCTTTCTTGCCCATTATAAACACCATGATCTGATATTAGAGCCACCCAGTGAGAATTAGTAAATAAAATACTTGGGAAAGTCTGTACCTTAAACGTCCCAAAGTTACTAAGTGCTTATGTATTTGTCAATATGAAAGGGAAACAACATAGCCATTTGCATAGCAACTAATCAAATGAATTTTCCTTTAAAAATGTCTTGGACTGGAGAATTTTGTCATCCTGCTTTTAATTCTAATATTCTCCAATCTTAAAGACATTTATCCTCCTTTCCCTGACTATGACAGTCTTAGACCCAAGCTGGGAAAGGTAGTTTATTTCACTGGTATGCAGTAAATTTGGTCAAAGGCTTTTCAAAAAAGGGAAAAAAGAGCTTCTACTTAAATAACTGAAATAGAAGATGTTTGCACCAGAGAAATACTTACATCACTGAGATTCCTACTGAGAAATCTTGACCCATGGTCCTTGATTACTTTTTGAAAAAAGCCAGATGACTCCCACACTTTTTCCTAATTCTTACAAATTACCTCTCAACGTTGTCCAAATAGAAACATCTATGTATTATTTCACCCACCCAAGAAATGCTTAAAAAGAGAGGTGGGAAGGAAGAAGGGAGGGGAGACCTCTCTAGATAACAAGTTGTAAGCAAGAACTAATTACAGGGCTCTTGAGATTTCTTTCAAAGGAGGATGACCGTGTCCTCTCATACCTTGAATGTGTGACCTTGGGCACATAATATTCAAGGCTTTTAAATGAATGGCCTTTGTGGACATAAAACGGTCATGGAAAAGGGGAAAAAAAGGAGGTTCTAAAGTGGTAGGAGTTGATTTTGAGTTGTAATAATCAACTGGTTTGAACTGAACAAAACTTTCATGTATTTGTTTTTCCCTCACCTCTGAAAGGGAGAACAGTGAGCTGCGCTTTTGGAATCGCTATTTTTTCATTTAGATGCATTTTACACTTCTCTTGCCTTTGCAAAGAATTCAAGAAAACCTACAGATCAAGACAGACAAAAGCCAGCCAACCAAAAACCAACAAAAACTCACCTCACCCCACTTCTCTGAGAGCACACAGGCTATTAATGGAGTACTGTGCTTAAGATACCTGGGTATGGACTCCTGAGAGTAGCCTTCACTATTGTTGTCTTTCAAATTTAAACCAAAATGGGATCTGCTGAGATTGGAGAGCAGGTATCATTACTCTCCTGCTGTGGGCTAAGCATTGTCTTTACTAATGAGGCATCATGATAAAAAAGTTAAGTTGCCAAGTGACCAGTTGTCACTAATGTGTAATTAAAAATCCCATTCCTGCCATTGTATATGAATTTGGTGGCTTTGCTGACATCTAATGGCACTGGTACCCAGAGGGATGCTCTGTTTTGTCACATAGATTTCATGTTTTACTCCATGTTAGTGTTTTATTGCAGCAGAACTTTAAATTTACTTATGAATCATTTATTCAAGAAACCCTTCTATTGATACTAATGTTTATATTAAGCTATGGATGGTACATAGAAATGTCATAGATTTATGTATTTAGCCATTATTTCCTGTTTCTCTTCCAAGAATGTATTGTGGGCTGTTTTTTGGGGGGAGGACGGGGGTGGGGTTTGCTTGTTTGTTTGTAGTGAAGCTGCACAAAAAAAAAAGGCTTTTTTTTTAACACTAGAGGAGAATTCAGTACATAAACATTTCACTGGCATGCCAGGTGCCCAGATGAAATGTATGTTGGCAAAATTAATGTATTAACTTCTATGCAAACTCTCAAATAAAATGGTTTTTGGTGATGGATGAATCCTTAAATACCAGATGACTACAAGATTTCCCTGTCTGCATCATAAACTGACTTTTTAAAAAAAAATGTCCTTTTGCTTCAGTTGTTCAAAGCAGTGTTTTAAAAAATAAAGAGGAAAATAGTATTTGCTACAGTCAGCAGATGGTTGTCACATTTTGTTTTCAGTCCTCTTTACCACTTAATTTTGTTTTGTTGCGACAGGAGATGTTGCCAGTAAAGCATCTGCTAGAGCTTATGGCTCAGGACCAGAGCTGCTGCTGATGGCATACATTCAGAATAGCACTAATCTAAAATAAATGTTTAATAAGCAGCCCGTGAAAGCACCTGGATTTTTTTTTTTTTAATTCAATTGATGCATAAGAATCTTCAATAGTTAAAAAAAAGGCCATTGCTTTGATTTATAAAATGTATGTGACTTCACTGTTTAAAAAATGCGAAGTTTTAAAATCTTCTTTCCTGAATTCCAGCTCATCAAGGTGCTGTACAAGACCAGGCTTACCAGCTGCCAGTGGAAATCGATCCTCTCATAGGTCTGTCACTTCCTTCTCTCTTTGCGATTCATTAAGCTCTGTATGGTGGCCCTGAAGTGTAGATTACGGTTGTTTTTCACTTGCTGGTTGCTGGGAATGGAATTTTCCTGATAAACCATTTGCATGCAAATTGGAATGCAATGAGCTGTGGCTATGCTGGTATTTCATCAACTCCCCCTCGTTGGTTTGCCTAATTTGAACAGGCCTAGGACGCGTGTCAGTGAAAATTAATATGGATGCTGTAATAATGTGTGATTGAGAATGTGCATGAAGTACTGTCAGGATAATATTGGATCTTTTCATCACTCAGACTTGTTGATGAGCAGGAGCGAGGCACGTTATGATGAATTGGTGCACTGGTAATGTGATGGAGCTCCTTTGCTGAGGAAATTTTCATAATAACAGTGGGGTTCTTAACTGCACCGTGTTGTGAAAAATAAAACCATGGTGCCAGGGTTTCATCATTAAAGGAGATCAATCCTTTCTTCATGGACCTGCTGTTCAGGCTGAGGGGATTAATGTGTAATTGCAAAGCGGTTTCAAAGTTGAAATATATTGCCCTCTCCATTTTAGTATTGAGATATTAGTATTCTTTTTTTCTTCTTTTCTTTTCATCAGCTTCACTAGTTAAATTTGTATATGTTTTTCTTTTATTAGAAAGGGGTGGAGGAATGTCTCTCTTTTATGTAATGACTCAGTGTAATAGATTCAATTCATGACTTTTTATTGCGGAGGTTTATTAGTTCATATAGACCCGATTTTTCTATTAGCCTGGTTAGAGTTTGGTCAGTTGTTTCATTACAGCCCCAACTTTGGAGAGTGCATACTTGGACTATAATTCAGGAGTCTGAATCATGGCAAATAGAACCTTAAACAGGATCAGAAAAGAAAAACTAACCGCAAAACACAAAGTAGTTGTAGGACAGCAGCAAAGAAGACAGGATTCTGTCTTCTCCCCCCAAACACTATGAGATGTCAATCTTGGACAGTTTAAAAAAACAGCTATTTCAGGGTTGTATTTTAAGTGAAAAAGATACAAAGTGACCAATTATAGAAACATGGGAAAATCAAAGCAAATCTGAACTTGCCTGGATAGGTTAGAATGGCAGGTCTTTCAACCAGTGAGAATTAATTTCAAAACTAATATGTACATCTTGGTAGGAACTGCGTTGTATCAGTCTGCAGGTACAGACTGTTCCTGTGTAGCCATTTTGCTGGGTAAGCTCTATTGTAACTAAATCAGAAACAGTGTGGGCATATGAAACCATTTTAAAAGAGCTGATAAAATGTTTTTCCAAAGTTGCTAAAATCAATTCTCATCTGAATAATAGATACGATTTATAATGAGGAGGACACATGCTGTAACTCTCCTTTCTTCTTGGATAGGTTTTATCCAAAAAATGTTTGTAGCAGGAAATGTAGATTCTGCTTTAAAACCTGCTATCAAGAAGATCTTAGAAGTACTTATAGATATTACAGCAAAACCCTCAAAATCACATTGAACCTGTCCGATTATTTTTTTTAATATATTGTGAAAAACATGTGGGAGGACATAAAATTTTTATTATCCTTTGTGTTTTTTCGTAATTTTAACATTAAAATTCCATTTTTGACCTGCCTTTAATTTACAAAATAGTTTGGCTTTTGTTTGGTATAAAAACCTTTAAAATTAACATTCACATTCTGAAAAATGGTTTCATATTCTCTTCATACTATAGATCTCAAGTTGGACTTGTGGTTACAGTGGACATAGTTTAAAAGGATTAAGGCTTTCTTTGTCATTGCTAAGTAGCATCATTGGGTGCAAGCAAGTAATTATGTAGGTAATATTAAAGGTTTTTAATTGTGGCTAGACACATTTACCTAGAAATGGCACCTAAGAGGACCACAAAATTACTCTTTTATGGCTATAGCAGGAATCTTGTTGCTGTCTTAGTTGTGAGGAGGGATTCCTGCCCTCCTCATTTTCCAGTTGACCAGGAAGACATAAAACAGCAATGTCTGATATGACATAAACTGAAGACTTCTTTCTGACGTGAAATTTTTTGAAGGTCTTATCCATGTGTCGATCTGCATGTTTTTTGAGGGTTTCTTTGCAGTTATTTTGTCCTACAGAATGTTTCACTGTGCATTTATAATGTGTTGTTGTTACTCTGTAAGCGGCCCCAACAGCGGTCAAGGCCAGGTTATGTGTTGCCTGCAGAGCAAGTGGCAAGACCTTTCTAAATTATTTGCTACCCATATGGACAAGACAGTATCAACATTTTAAACATAGCAAAAGCATAAATAAATGAAGGATTTGATACGGAGTAAATGGAATAAGCCCAAGGCTCAGGGGATAGCTAGCCTGTGAGAACAGAAAGAAGTTAAAGAATAAATAGTAAAGAAGAGCACAAGACCAGGACTGAGGCAGGTCCAGGGGACTACTTGGAAGGAAGGAATGGTGCTCCAAGCAGTTGGCAGACAAACCCAGGCTCAGGAGAAATTATTTACCTGGACAGAAATCAAGTTGGCTCAGGAATATTGAAAGTTCTTCCTACAGTGTAGGATTTGCATTATATATATATATATGTATATGTGCTCATGTTAATTAATAAAGAAAAAATAAGTATGAAAAACGTGTTCACTAATTTTTTCTTGTTCATTCTGGGGGTTCTCAATATAAGATGGCCTGAGAAAATGATGTGATGATCCCAAGGAGGTGGTAGAGTGGTAGATCCTTGGAGGTTTTTAAGAAAAGACTGGACATGGCACTTAGGGCCATAGTCTAGATGACGTGGTGGTGTTGGGTCAAAGGTTGGACTTGATGATCTCAGAGGTCTTTTCCAACCTAATTGAATCTAGGCTTCTGTGAAATAAAACATCAGGTGATCCAAGTGGGGCAAATATTTTCTCTCATCTTTAAAGGTGATTATGGAGATAAGCTGGTTAATTTTTTTTGCAATGCTCCAAAATTGTGAAATGGTAGTGATGTCTAGTGAAGTTATTCTTTTTTTAAATTACAATGCTTGCTATGAAATATGAGTGGTATACAGTTTTGAAACTGTGATCCCATTGTCTGCTGTGTTTGAGCCATTATACAGTTCACGTACTGTCTTATCATTAAATTCCCTCTCTTTGTTTCTAATTTTTAATTTCTTATACTAGAAGAAGGAGGAAAGGAAGCTTATTATGTTTTCATGTATCATGCCTTTGTGAAATATTTAATTTGTTTTTCTCAGCTGCATTTGACTTAAAGAAGGCATTTCTTCTATTTTAGAATATATACTACAAGGAATTAGCATTGTTCCCAAAAGTGTAATGAGTATTTTGTAGTAGAATTACAAGGAAAAAGTCCCTACCACAAAAACAGAGTAATAGCCTTGAGGAATATATTTGGTCTGAACATAAGTTTCTAGAATGTGCTTTTGTTCTATGAATGTGGATGCTAAAATTTCTTGGTTTGTGTTTCTTTGTGTTCAGCCAGCAATACAGGTATGCACAGAAGGCAAATCACTGACCTTTTAGACCAAAGCATTCAGGTACATTCCCAGTGTTTTGTCATCACCTCTGATAATCGTTACATCTTGGTCTGTGGCTTCTGGGACAAGAGTTTCAGAGTTTATTCTACTGACTCAGGTAATGTATTTTTAAACATGGGAATAGCCTAAAAGATTTTTTATGTTCATTGTCGGCCAACTGTTTCAAATAAAGAAAGAAGGAGGAGTGGAATGTGTATTTATCCCCCTATTAGTAATATTTGTCAGATCTTTCCTTACCTATTGCTATTGTGTATGCTATCATTTTTGTGCAGGGATGGCAAACGTAAGAGAAGGAGCTCTTGTTTAGACAGAGCATCACACTTCAAAACTATAGGATAGGGATGCCTGTTCTTACACTGTAGTTTCCACAGGTAAATGAGTTTGTATGAAGCAATGAACAAATGAGTTTGTATGAATTCTCCTGCATACCAGGAGAATTAATTATTCTTAGAGCGCTTACCCGAATTTAATGCTGGTTGGTTTTCAGCACTAGAGAATTTTTTTTTTTTCTGAAGAAATACAGACAAGTACTGTAGAATATGAACAGAAGCTAAGTCTTGAAATCTGGTGAAAGAATACTTATGAAAGCCTTTGAAAGCTGTGTTATAATAGAAAAATTGATCCGGAGCCACTGAATTCTTTTATATAACATAAACTGATCGATATAATGGGTAGCAGTTAAATTAGTCTGTCAGCTGGAGTGTATCCAAACCATTGAAGCCATGCATGTGTCATGCTAAATAGAAAAGAATCTTTCAGTGTAAGAGCTACAGGAATTTAAAAGCCATGGAACCCCAGAAAAAAATAGGTATGATTTTTTCCCTTTCATTATCTTATAATGGGAACAGCGACCTCACTGCAAGGTACTTCTTTGGGATTAATGACCCAGTGTGGTTAATGTGTGTGTGCCATCAAGCTTTCCAGTAGGTTATTAATCCCTAGGGAATATCCTGCATGTTTGTCATCATTTCTTAAATATATTAGTTAGCAGTGTTTTTCACACTTGGCAAGACAAAATGTTTAACAAAACAGGATGGTCTATATTGAAAATCTGTGAAGACTAGATCTCATGGCATATTTTAACATAGCTGTCATTTTTGTCATTTTAAAGCCTTAAGTATAAAGGAGAAGTT